TAGGCGGGTCTTGAACCCACGGGCTCAGGTAATCCACTCACCTCAGCCTCCCAAAGGTGCGGGATTACAGGCTGAGCCACCAAGCCCGGCTGAGAGAAGTCTTATGGGGACAGTTCATGGCCCTGCTCTATTCCCTTATTGGACAGATGAAGAGACCGAGGTCCCACCGGTGGAATTCAGTGTGGAATTTGAAGCACACGCCAGAGGTCACTGTCCTTGCTCCACAGGTACAGCAGAGGTTGTCTCTGGGTTTCTGACTGTGGGGAGGGGTAGAGGTGCTCATGGCATATAGTGCCTATGCCAGGGCAAGTAAATGTCCTCCATCACAAAGAACAGTTGCATCAAAAATGCCAGTAATGCCTTATGGAGAAACATTGCCCGAAAGTGATTTTAAAGGAAAGATGGGCCTTTAAAATGGGTCTTGTCTTCTTGAGTCTTCACTCTGTCATGTACTCAGCTCTGGTGAGGACAGGCTATGGTCTTTACTAAATCTTGCTAGGCTCAGTTTCCTCACTGGGAGTTGTGAGGGCGAGCAGCCTGACACAGAGGAAAAGCTTCCATTTACTCCACTTGCCCCTCCAGCCATGCTGTCCAGTTTATGCTCTGTCTTGTCTCTGGACCTGAGCCACACTGTTTCTTTTGCCCAGAACACTCACCTTGCACCTTAAACTCATACTTTAGGACCTAGCCTCATCCAGAGTCTAGATTCATCACTGAGCTCTCATAGCTTCCTGCATTTCTCATCTGGAATACCTGTACCTATAGTTCCATAAATATTTGTGTAGTTATGTGTGAAGGGTTCATGTTCTGTGCTAAATTGTTGACACTGGACCACCCCTTCTACTTCTCAGCTCAGAGTTCCCTCACCAGTCCTGTGGTTCTGCACTTTCCCTGAGATGATTGTCTGAGGTACTAGAAGCTGTCTAGCTGGAGGAGGATCAGGAAACATGGTTAGGTCCAAGTAGAAACATCTGAACTTTCTCATTCTTCTAGATCTTTAGCACAGAGCCCAGGTGCCCATACATAGCACTACCAAGGCAGGTCTCTTGAGCAGAGGGGTGTCTCAGAGGTGGGTACCTTAGCCAGGTTGCTGATGGAGACAGTCATGGTGAAACAGATTGGGTATATGGGAGCCATAATCTCAAGGAACATGGCTACATCGTTGAGGATGTCAGCAAAAAGCCTGGGGAGGGATCAAAGGTTAGAGATCAGAGGTAGGATACAGGCCTTCATAATAGAAGAATCACCTTCTCTCTACCTCAGCCTTTTCTTACCTCCACTGCTTGGCATTGCAGTCCAGTTTGCTCCTGTTGGGGAAGAGAGGTTACTGCAGTTTGGATTTAAGGAGAACACACATCCTATGGGCAGTGTGGGGTGTCCTAGGCCATGGTAAGGTCTGAAGGGCTCAGGAAACCCACACTCCCTGGAGAGACATCTGTCCCCACATCCTGGCACTGCTCCCTGAAATGCCACCATTAGCTGGTGGACCTTCAGTGATTCCCCTTCCAGAATTTATGATTTACCAAAGAAAAAGCCTGATTGGCTGTTCTGCAGCCTCTGACCATTCTTTGAGGAAGGCTACTCCTGGGTTCCTCTGCCTTTCTCCTCTTCTTGCTTCAATGAGAGTACCCAGCAAGAAGTCCATATATTTTGACTGGTAAACACTTTCCTGTAACCCTCCAGATTATGGATAACTATTCCAGACAGGGGATATAATTCCCTTGGATAACATGAAGAGTAGGGGGAAAAGGCCAAGAGAAAGAGTTGGGATCCAATACCTAGGCCTAGAGTACTTCCATAGCACCATAGATGGCTACCTCATTTGCCCCTCTTTGTCAGGCAGTGACTGCCTGGCCTGTGCACACTGGGGACCACTTCTCCAAAATCCCAGTGGCAGGAGGTACTGCAGCCCCCAGCTGCACAGAGCCCAGGCCAGAACTTCCAGTATTAGGCCTGAGACTTAAGCTGAAATCTCCTGGAAGGAAAGTAAACATTCCGGAGTGAGGTATCAGATATACATGGGAACCCCTGAGCAAATGGGCCTTGTCTAGGCTTCTGCCCAATGAACCAGCCTGATATCATGGAAAGAGTACAGGCTTCAGGTTCAAATCCCATCTCACTAGTTACAAGCTGTATGACCTGGGCAAGTAGCTTCCCTCCTCTAGGTATGTTTTTCATGTATAAAATGAATTGGAATATACAAAGTACACATGGGGTACAGTTAAAGCTGTTAATGAAAGCTAGTGTTTACTAAGCTTATTAGGCACTACGCAATATATTAAGCACTTTGCACAGACTATCTCACTGAACCCTCACAACCACAAGTAATGGCTGATACTATTACTATCATTAATATCACCACTGGGGAGAGTTGCCAGAAATTTGCTGACTGGGAAGACAAACTCACCCCTTCCACCAGGCAAAGACAATGCGGCCCAGCATGCCAGTTGAATCTGGAAGAGAGAAGGTTCGGGTAAGGAACAAGGAAGAGGTTTGGGAGCTGTGGGGCCTGGCAGACTCTGGCACTGAATTAGCTGATTAACCCTGGGTCATTCCCCTGGAAGCCTCTTTCACAACAGTGAAAAACCAGTGAACTACAACCACTCACCATCGACACAGGTGAATTCTTGCATTATAATCTTGCATGAAAAAGTAACTCACGAAGGTCACATACAGTACAACTTACTTTTCAAAAAGCTCTACAACAGCTAAAATTAAACAATATTTAGGAATATATAGCTATGTGGTAAAACTACTAAAAAAAGGCAGAAACTCTTAGGTGGAAATTCAAAGGTTACTGATGAAATTGTAGCTCTTAGGCTGGGTAGTGGTTTCACAGGTGATCATTATAGTACAAATAAATAAAAAAAGGGATTTGAACTGTAGGTTGGTGACAGAGAGAGTTGAGGGTACAGGGCAGAGGGAGAAGCCTCCTCAGGCTGGGCAGAGCAAGAGAAGTCTCCTGAATCAGTTGAATTTTCATTTGTACAACAAATGAAAATTACCTGGCTACTCTGTGCCAGGTAATTTGTTAGGCACGTGGGATCCCATAGTGACCAGAGTCATGATTTGAGTCACAAAATCCAGCCTGAGAGCAGAAAGCAATAACTATGAAAAATACTGACTTAGACCAGAGATTGGTAAACCATGCCTGCAGGCTTCTGCTTCCTAGTTTTGTAAATAAAGCTTCACTGGCACACAGCTGTGTCCATTTGTTTACAGATTTTTTTTTTTTTTTTTTGTTGGGATCTTACTCTGTTCCCCAGGCTCACTGCAGCTTTGATCTCCTGGGCTGAAATCCCACCTCAGCCTCCTAAGTAGCTGGGACTGCAGGCATGAACCACCACCCTTAGCTATTTTAAAAATTATTTTGTAGACATAAGGTTTCACTATGTTGCCTGTGCTGGTTTTGAAATCCTGGCCTCAACTGATCTCCTGCCTCAGCTTCTCAAAGTGCTGGGATTACAGGTATGGGCCATACCTGGCCTGTTCACAGATTGTCTGTGGCTGTTTATGTGATACAACAGCATTCAGTTGCTGCTCCAGCTAAGACTGTAAGGCCTGCAAAGTGCAAAATATTTGACATCTGAACCTTTACATAAAAGTCTGCCAACTTAGGCTATCCTTTATATTGACAGTAGCACCTAGTAAGTCCAGCAGGCAGATCTCATAGAAGGAATATTTTACAACCAGGCAAGTAGGAGGGACTCACACAGTGGACACTGAAAGGACAGATATTATGGTCAGAGGATTCTAACTTTTTTAAGTTTAAGAGCATTGACCCTGAAGTGGAGAATGTAAGGAGAAAGGAAACTAGGCTGTGAGAAGAAGGGCTGGGAGCGTCCCACAATATATAAAGATGATGACATAGTCCAACTGTCCCCATTCCTCACTGAAAACAGATGCACTCAGCGCTTTCCACAGCTTCTATTCTTGAGCACTGAAGCCTTCTAACAGACATGCTTAACCCACCCTGAACTTGAGGGACACTGCCGAGCACTCTGGCTGACACCTAAAATACCTATGATTTTTCTTAAAGCAGGATTTATTAAGAGGACAGAAAAGTTCCCACAGTGGGAGGGAACCCGAAGGGGTTGCCCAATACCTATGATTTTTAATCTTCACAATAATCCTATGAACTTGGAAGGGATCACTTCCCTTCACTGAAGCTCAGAGAAGACAGGTGATCGAAATTAGGACATTTTAAGAGAAAATGTGGATTTCTAGCCTTTTTGCACAAAATTACTTAAAATACTGTATAAAGTTACCTTCAGGCTATGTTTTTAAGGTATATATTAAACATAAATGAATTCTGCTTAGACTTGGGTCCCATCCCCGCAAAATCTCACTATGTATATGCAAATATTCAAAAATCCAATCTGAAATCCCAAACACTTCTGTTCTGGTCCCAAGCATTTCGAATAAGGGACATTCAACCGGTACAGGTAACATGGTGGTATGACATGAAAGCATCAACAACTGACTCAAGTTCCAAATGCATTCCAAAAACCTACTCAACAGGAGAGCAAGTAAAAAGATCCAAATTAAGCACAGAGTGGTGGTATGAAAATGGACTCTGGAGCTAAACCACCTCGGTTCAAATCCATACCATACCACTTACTGGATGTGTGACCTCGGGCAAGTTACTATGCCTTAAGTTTTCTCATCTGTAAAGTAAGGATAATGGCAATTCCTAGCTCAGAGCTATTGTGAAGACTGAGTCAATACATATAATATGCACTGTTTGCATGAACTATTATTATTACTAAAAAAAGAGACAGCCAGTACACCAAGACACAGCTGCATCAACCCTTCTGCTAGCAAGCATCGCCAGATAAAGCTTCTTTTCAGTGTCAACTCATTTTGCTCAGTCTTTTTTTTTTTTTTGAGTTGGAGTCACCCAGGTTGGAGTGCAGTGACATGCTCACAGCTACCCCAGTGTTGGTCTGCTGGGCTCCGGCGATCCTTCTGCCTCAGCCTTTTAAGTAGCCGGAAATACAGGTGCGCGCTACCATGCCTGGCTAATTTTTTACTTATTGTAGAGACAAGGTCTTGCCAAGTTGCCTGGGCTGGTCTTGAACCTGCGGGCTCAGGTAATCCACTCGCCTCGGCCTCCCAAAGTGCTGGGATTATAGGCTGAGCCACTGAGCCCAGCCAGTTTTGCTCAATCTTAATGGCAAAGATGTAAGCAGGGCCTCCTGATTCTCCAAAAGATCCAGGGAGGTTCACCAGAGATGTGCTCAGGCTGATGCTAGGAGTGGAATGAGCCTCCCCTTGGGTCTGTATTGGGAACAGTAATGAAAGACAAAGGACAGTGGAGACAGCCATGAGACCTCATAATGCGAAACACACAGTAGTTTCCCTTTTCTTCTCTCGCTTCTTCACTCTCTAAGTGGCATAGGTACCATATCTTTTTTTCCTTAGTGATTTTTAAAAAAAGTTGTATATACTCAGCAGATGGTCACTATAGTATTTACAGCATCATCTAATATACCAGAGATACAGAATACCTTTCCTTCTTTCCAGAATCTCCTTTCTCCTACTCAGGACCAAGTATTCCCAACACTCCCTCCCCCCCAACCAATTTCCTCATCCTTGGGCAGCTGGCAGTTTTAGTCAATAAACCGCATTCTCATGCAATCTTTCACAGAGAGACCAGGGATAGTTAAGTTAGGGATTTGGGATCCAGATGACTTAGGGACTCTGTATGTATGTACGTCCGTATGTATGGGGAATGGGGTGCGGCTGGTAGGCTGGGGAGTAGAATGAGCGTCTTCCAGCCGTGGGAGCCAAGACTGGAATACAAAGCACTGCTCTACGCACTGGGGGGGACTTGCCCATATCCTATCTAATCAGGCACGAGTCCATACATATACACACATCAGAACCCAGAGAGGGCAACAGGTGAGGCTCCAGGGGTCCAGCTCACCTTTCACGAGCCAGGTGGCTGCGGCAGCTGTAACTGAGGCTTTTGAGTTTCCCACCCCTATGCCCAGCAAGACTGCCTGGGTGGCCAGGGCGCCGGAGAGGCTGGAAGCAAAGGCCTGGAGAAGAAAAGAAGCAGGGTAAGGAGGGGGCGCAGGAGCATGGAGATCTACGTCCTGTCACCGGCCTTCTTGGCGTTTGAGCTAGGACAGGTGAGTGCCCGGCTCTGGGCCTCACGCTCCCGTCTATAAATGGGGAGGGCGACGTGGCCCGCACTGCACCCTCAGCCCCGGCTAAATGTCGCCCCCTACCGCGGACTGCGGGGCCGACCTGCACGGAATCCCATAGCTGGTAGGGCACATAGTCCGGGCTGACGCTGTCAGGAAAGCCCTGTGGCAGGAACACGGCCCGGAGAGCGGAGAGGGGACGCGAGGCAGCCCGGGGAACCAACGCTCTTCTCCCATCTTGTTCTTCGGGTCTCGCAGGGAAGACCCCGAAGAATCCCCAGTGGCCCCATTCCCCGGCCTCCCACTGCAGGCTCCCGTCAGCGGCGGCACTGCAGCCTCGAGCCGTCCCGGAACCGAAACGCTCGGAGCACAGCGGGGCCTCGAAACCCGCCGCGTCAGCCATCCCGATTTCCTGCGTCAGGCTCCGGCGGGGGGAAGGGGCGGCCGGGGGACGCTTCCGGCTTGGCTACGGCGGCTGCGGAGGGGCAATCTTCCTGGGAGAGGGCGCCCGGTCTCCGCCTCCTCCTTTGTTAACTCGCGAGTCCAGACTGTTCCTCTCTGGCCTCCGGGCCCTGCTCGGACACTTCAGCACTGGTCTGGCTCTTTTTCTAAGTAGTGTTCAGTAGTTCGGCCGCAGGCGCAGGGGGTCCTTTGGCCTGCCAAGTTCCCGAGGCACCTGAGTGTCCTTGTGACTCGCAACTTCCTGTGATGGGGAGAAGGAAAGAGGGCGTCCCTAGGGAGACCCGGTTTGGTCAGGTCACAGGATGTTTTGCTGTGTGACTTTGGGCACGTCAGTGTCTCTCTCTGGGCCTCAGGTGCTTTCTTTGCTGTGAGAGCTGGGACTATATTTTTATTCCTTATTTTATCCCTGGTACCACCTAACACGCACATAGTAAGTTCTCACAAGATATTTATGAATGAAAGAAGGCATGATGAGAGGAAATTGACCAGATGAGACCCTCTTAGACTTCTCAGTTGTGTGTGTGTGTTTCCTTCTGAACGTCCCAGGCCTAGACTAGAAATTCTTCTGAAAGGATCCCAAGGCATGAGAGAACCAAGGAATTGCAATAATGTTGTCAGAAAACAAGAGGAATAGGCAGAAAATTCTTGTGTGTGTGTTTACCGGAGGAAAGGGTCCATGAAATTGGAGGTAGAGTCCAGAATGATTATTTACCAGCTGACCTCCTTTTCTCTTTCCCGTTCTTCTTCTCATCTTGTGCAGCGTAGCCACTGCAAAGGTAGACATTTGCCAAAAAGCGTCCTCTTTTTTTTTTTTTTTGGAGTTGGAGTCTCACTCTGTCGCCCATACTGGAGTGCAGTAGCCGCTCCCGGCCACCGCAGCCTCGACCTGCTGGGCTCCGGTGATCCTTCCACCGCAGCCTTCCAATAGCTGGAACTACAGGTGCGCGCTACCACACCCGGCTAATTTTTTGATTTGTTGTAGAGATGAGGTCTCACCAAGTTGCCCAGGTGGGTCTCGAACCCGCGGGCTCATTTTTTTTTTTTCTTTTTAAATCAGAAAAGGAAATATCCTGGCTTCTTGGCCTGGCATTCTTGGACCCTCACAGTTTGACCCCAAATGACAACTTCCTACTCGAAACTTCTGATTCTCCCATGAGTTTTTCCTCATAGACTTCAGCCTGGAATGCCCTTCTACTCTGCCTCACCTTATCTGTCCCATGTGCAGTCTCTCTGAGGCTAAGATAAACCTGATAACTTCATTACAAAAAAATTCAAATTTCAAGATACAGAAGGCATAGACACTTTAACATTTCTGTAATGTTTTCTATATTGAGGTACTGGTTTGAATAGAGGACAAAAATAAAAGAAGATTTGAAAACTAGGTGTTTTTTAAAAATGGACTGAAACATGTACTGGAAAACACTTTAAGAACCTTTGTAAAATAACATCAACTGAGTGTGTAAATATGTCTAGTAAAGAAACAATTAGAATTCTGTAGAGTTAATCGCAAAGTGCTTTTGGGGAGGACATGAGTTAAATCAGGGTTTAGTTAGAGGATGGATGCTAGGTTGTCACAGAAAAGGTTAATTTAGGTAGAGACAAAGTTTCCAATGGAATGAAGGAATTGGGAAACTTATTTTTACCAGTTTGAGAGCTAGGATTAAAATTCAGAATAACCTGGTAAATTAGAGAATTAGAAATAAAATACAGTACTTTTATATTTATGTTTAAAAATTTTTATTTCCAAGAATATAGGTCAGAAAAGAAATAAGCAGAGAAAGGTGGAAAACAACTTGCATACAAAATAAGGAAAGGAATATTTCTTTCTGAATATGACTAGAAAGTCCAGTGAATGGAGTCTGTAGTAAGTGTATTCTGAATTTGAGTTGGAAATGAAACACTGTAGTTAAAATGGCAAAACATTATGCAAGGATACTGAGGGATTCCTTTTCCTTTCATAATTAAAATTCCTATTTTGGTACTTAGAAGTAGTGACTAGTACACAAAATTATAAATCTTATATATAAATAAATGCTAAAAGTAACAAAAGGATATAGATTACATTTTCTTCATTTACTTTGTAAGTTTCACTTGCATCTAATTCATCTTCAGGTAGCCTTAAGATGTAAATTACCATCCCATCTACGTCTACCATAGGGAATTGAACTTTCTTTTTTCTTCTGAAAACTGGCAAGTTTAAAGAACCCTACCAAATATGGCTTTGTATTTTGTTTTCAGCTGAAAAGTCATAGTGATTTTTATTTTATTTATTTATTTATTTATTTTTTGAGTTGGAGTCTCACTCAGTCGCCCAGACTGGAGTGCAGTGGCCGCTCCTGGCCACCGCAGCCTTGACCTGCTGGGTTCTGGCGGTCCTTCCCCCTCAGCCTTCCAAGTAGCTGGAACTACAGGCACGCGCTACCACACCCAGCTAATTTTTTGATTTTTATTGTAGTGATGAGGTCTCGCCAAGTTGCCCAGGCGGGTCTCAAACCTGCGGGCGCAGGCAATTCACTCACCTCGGCCTCCCAAAGCACAGGATTACAAGCTGAGCCACTGAACCCGGCCATAGTGATTTTTAAAAAACTATGTAGTTGTCATTGATTCAGGGTTTGTTATCTCTTTTATACCAATGATTTGCCAGCATCTTTCTTCAATAAATATATGTTGATACCTGTTATGTACTCATTGGGATATTGAGCAAAAATAGACATGGGTCTTGATCTTCTGGAGCTCATGTCCTAGCGAAGGAAATTAATCAGTATACAAATAAATGCTAACCACACCTCCCACTTGTCTCTGCTGCCTCTTCCCTCTCGCCTGGAAACTCTAACCTTGCCTGAGTTCAGCATGGACCCCATCTGTCCTGTGCCACTGGTGCCTCCTGTACCTGCGCTGGCTCTTGCAAATGCACCTTCTGCAAGAAGAGCTGCTGTTCCTGCTGCCTTGTGGGCTGTGTCAAGTGTGCCCAGGGCTGCATCTGCAAAGAAGCATTGGAGAAATGCAGCTGCTGTGTCTGATGTCAGGAGAATTTTGATCCTAGATGGAGATGGAGCAACATGTACAAATCTGGATTTTTGAAAAAATACACTTCTGACTCTTTTGCTGTGTTTATTTTTTGATGAAATATGTGAATGATAATAAAAGCTGTTGATTTAAAAAACAAATCAATGCAAAGTTTGAACTGTTTCAATTGCTGTAGAGATATGTAGGTAAATATGGCAAAAGTCTAGAGCAAGAGAGTGCATGGTAAAAAGTGATGCTATTACATAGGAGCCAAACTTCTGGATGTTGTATGTCAAGTATTTCTTTATCCTTAGGGTAGATATTTAAACTTAGACTAATATTCTCCATGTTTAACAGGAAAAATTTACTATTAGTTACAAAAGGGTTGTGTTACAAGAGTTCATTGTTATTTCAATTGAAAACTTATAATGCTTCTTCCCATAGAATGAATCATGGTTACAGTGTCAGGTCTTTAAAAAAACCTTTTAAGCCGGGCTCGGTGGCTCAGTCTGTAATCCTGCGCCTTTGGGAGGCTGAGGTGAGTGGATTGCCTGAG